CATTTGTGTCGAACGATTTGATGGAATATGTATATTATAAGTGTTTTATACAGAGTATACAAACTTTTTCATGCCGTATTTAACTCCTTTCTTGTTTATTTTAGGAATAGCCAAATTGGTTTCCGTTCTTCCAATTTTGTTAAGGCGCTTTATTTTTCTTTTTGCCAGTTTAATTTGTTGTATTCCTCATATCTTGTTTTGGGGCCTGAGTTCAAGGCAGTTCCGGTCGATTCCGGTCGATTCCAGGTGTAGTTTCATTAAGCAGACCGATTATTATCGGCTTAAAGCCATATAACTTTAATTGCCAAAGTCGTAGAACAATGAAACCTGGTCTGGGATCGAAACTCGGTCAGCCAGATGAGGCTAGCCAGTTGCGTAGTGCTGCTCTTCCAGTGATCCACTGAGTCCACTGAATCCACTGAGCCACTCAGCAGCTGAGCGTTGGAGCAGGTTCACTGAACTGCAGTCACCTACAGCTTGGCATTGGGAGCGAGCGAGACGTGAAGCGCACTAACAGTGGGTGCAAAGAGCTCGCTGAATATGTGGGTCAGACCGACAATTACACTGAAAGTAGGCGGTCCACTTTTCCTCAAACCCGTTTACTGTTAGCAACGGCAGATGCTAAGAAAGCTGGGGAAACGGAAAGAATGAAAGAAATTTGCAGCTCCCGTGCGCTCTCTTTCTCTCATTTGCGAAACATTAAGTTGCAACATTGGCTGTAAAAAGTAACATTTCAGCACTCTCTCTCTCCCTTGAATAACTTTAACAACAACAAAGGCTGCTGGAAAAAAGCTGTTAACTTACAGAATGAAAGTAATTATCTCTATATTTCTTTAGACTGTGGTCTGTATTTTATTTCAAAATTTTAATTTTATAATCTTCTTTATTGAAGTAAATTTTGAAAGTTAAATATAAATGTAAGAAAAGTGAAGGAAAGTAAGGCTCAAATATGTGCCACCTATAGATAAATACAACTGCAATTGCAAAAGTTTGTGTTGAAAAATGTATATATTTAAGCTTAAAAATAATAATAAATAAATTAGTTCCCGCAGAATGGTTAAAACTATATTAGTTTTTATATTTGTATTTAAGTATTCAAATATTTGCTTTTCAAACGGACATTGCTTAAAATTATTATTTATGCGCTACTGTGCAACAGAAAAACAAGGAAGAAAGTAAAAATACTCTCTTTTCTCTTTTGCATCTGCATTACAATTTTCACTGTTAATTTAACAGTGCGGCAATATCCGCGATCTCTCTGAATCTCTTACATATACAGCAGCTGGGCTAATAACAGCGAGAAAGCATGCATGCACCCCAACACTTCCCCTCCCCTCTGTCCACCTTTCTTACGTGCAAGCTGTTACATTGCGGTGCAAAGAGAGCAGATGAGCTGCTGTTACTCTCTTCTTGTAACGGAGGAGCGCAAGCTATAAAAGCGGCGCATGCGCTGCGAGTTTTCCGCAGTCGCGCAGCTGCACTCAAAAAGAACACCTCGATCGGGCTATAAGTTTTTTCTATAAAAAGAAAAACCCAGTTTCAAATCATTGCCAAAATGTCAGGGGGAACCACAGCAACAACAACGCAGCGCAGCTTCTACATCACAAACGAGGTGAGTTCCTGCTTTGCCAAAAATCAAAGCACAAAAGGAATGCGCCGGCATAAATTAATCTACTGAGTCTGCCCCGGGCACTTTTGATTCTGATTACGATTCTGCTTCTGATTCTACTTGTGTGTCCGACGATTGGCACTCCGAAACTGGCTGCTAATTAGTGCTGCCTCATTAAAAGCGTACCCAAACGAACAAAACAGTTGCTCGGACACTCGAGAACGCTCTTCAGAAATGCCAGAAACCCAGAAATTGAAAACAGTGCAAAATGTCGGGCAAACAAATCTGTGACTGCCCTGCTCTGCTCTGTTATTGCAAAACAAAAGCCCCATTTACGCCAGGTCAGAGTTTCCGTCCTGAGCGAAAAACCCAAATTAATAATCAATGAAAACAATTAGCGCGCGAAATGCTTTTGAGGAAAAACTCGTTCCCAAAACACTTTTGCTTTCGCTTTCCCATAAAGTCTTACAGATTCTAAGAACGCTGGCGCAATATTGGATTTTAAATGATTAGAATAAATTAGTATTCATTTTCGCGAGCAAACAGCTGCGGGCTTAAAGCTTAAAGAAAGTAACAGTAAAACGCAAACAACAAATATCCAGATTTTCGAGATGCCCGCGGGCCAACGTAAAAAGAGACGACGAAACAGAGGCTAAAATAAAATCAAATCAAATGCAAATTATAAAGAAATAATAATAATAATGTGGCTAATTATGAGTGAAATTTCAGGAAATCAAATTAATAGAAAGAAGAACAAAGCGAAATAAAACCGGTCATTGGCAGTGAAGTGGAAAACAGACTTGACAGCCTTAAAGTAATGAAAACAAACAGTGAAAAATCAATTATTGAAGGACAAACTTAATGATTTTAAATCGTTTTACTGGCAAAACGAAAATAAACTAATTTATAAATTCGAATCTTCTTGTTGGAAAGTTTGCACATTTTGCACTTTCAAAAATAGAACAAATACAAATACCCGCAAATATAAATAACTATTTCTGGTTTTTGAATCTTTAAAGACGCTTGCGTCTTTATCATCCGTCAAACATGTTTAATTTCAAGATACTCGTAATTTTGAAAATCTTGTACGCTTAACATATGAGGAAATTAAGAAACGCATTAAGTTTCATGTGGCTAAAAATAGAATCTACTCGAGCAGGTGAGCAAAGTGCTACGGTTTCCTCAAAACCAAAGTTAAATGAGATTGTGTAATACCTTTGCCCTCACAAACTAATATGCAACCGAAACTATAATTAAGCTTGAGCGACGCAAGAAGACGCCAATTGCCACCCTCATAGGCTGCAGCCCAGTTTTGTTGGCAAAGTAATTAACGTTTATTGGCTGCGGACAAACAAGAAGTTCGTGGGCTGGCTGCCGCCTCGAGTTGCTGAACACTCTGCTTATTTTCGTTAATTCAATCTTCTTTCGAAAACATATATTCATATGTGGATCCTGGTATTCGTATTCGGTCACGCCCCCACAAAATGTTTGTTTACCGCGCGTTTAGACTTCTGTTTGCTTGCCCAATATTTGCCCGAAAATTTTAAGTAAGAATAACAAAAAGATTTTTGCGCGCCCAAGTCAACAGAGTGTCAGTGGCACAGTGAGGCGAGACAGTGAGACCCACAGATGTGTACATATGCACATGGACTATCGATGGCAACAATTACCAGACATTGGGGCGTATGCGTGATACAGCTAGCCGAAATATCACGCATACGCCTTGTATGCAGACGGAAACTGCTTGGACAGCAAATATTTTTGGCCAAGTCTTGTACCCAGCCCGTCTGCAGTCCGGCTGACCGTAATTCAACTTGGCCAGCTGCAAACAGATTCAATTTGCATTGCGAAATGCAAATGCATTGGTCAGAATAAAATCCCATACTCAGATCTGGCCTCGGACAACTTCTTCTTTTTCTCTCGTTTTCTGTCCCTTTTATTTTGTGGCATTTGTTCTGTTTTTGTCATGCAAATGGAATCTCAAATTCTAACACACAATTCACTTAGTAAAAGGGTGTACTGCTTGATTGGCAACCTTTCCTATAAATCAAAACAAGGACTTAAGTCCTAGTCCTGTTATTTATATTTGTTGGAAATAGTTTTTATGTATTTTTAATTGTACACTTTTGTCCTTCTGGTTGATTTAAATTGCTAAAGTTATCGTTTTGGAAGCCAGGCCATTTCTATTTACATAGTAAATGTGACCAAAAATGTGTTAATGGTATGGAATGTTTTTACAATTTTAAACACATTTTTTCCACACTCCCCTTAAATAGTTGTGCAAAACTTTGTTCAAGGGATACGTTAGCATTTAAAGAGTGAATAAATAGATGCGGGTCAAATATCAGATTCTATTGATATGCGCATGATTATGCCATGTATTGTTTTTCTTTAGCAAAACAAACAAAAAGCAAATTATAAGATCTATTTATATTTTTCTTCTTTACTCAACAACAAAACCCTTGTATAATTTTAATTTCTTGTTGGCGTTTTTTAAAGTTTTCAAGTACAATACATAACAGAATCTTTTTGGCCAACTAGGGTCAGGGCTGAGATTTGTTTAATTATTTGTTTAATTAAGCGGCAGCATGTGGCTGCATTTGTGTCAGGGCTGCCACAGAATCTCCAGTGCCTCGCAGTGCTTACAGATATTCGTTTAAATGCCTTTCGAGTAACAATTAGACAACAGCAATTGCAGGGTTAACTGCTGCCCCCTTCGTACCCCGCCGCTGCTGGCCAAGAGTCATGCAGTGTCACGGTCCGCTGGACTTGCTTTGACCTGCTCTGCACTCGCCTTTTATGTTTCCATTTTTTGATTGCTGTTTTACGTAGCCAGACCCAGACGGCACAACAAACATAGACAGCGACAGCCATTGATGGATATACTTATACTTTGAATATACTCGTGCTTTCGTAACTAAATGCGGGCTCACAGTCCGCTGGATTTGAACCTTTCGCCTTGGACGGCTTTCGAAATACTTGGGGCGGGAAAATTCACTCACTGCCAAGTGGAAAAACTCGATGCATCCAGCTGAAAACTGGTTGGCTGGCCTTGGTCTAATCCACATTTCAGAACCTCCAGCCAGCAGCAACAGGCAGCAGATTCTGTCTCGACTGGCTTTTCCAAACTTGATACTCGATTGTTTGGCCTACGCTTTTTGCCATGGCTGCTGCTGGCCAGAACGAAAATCTCGTCGCTGCATTGCTGCCACTTGGCTTTGCAGTCATACCGTTTTGGACCGCAGCACACCAAACAAGTGACGTTCAAGTGCGGAGATTGCCAAGATCAATGTGTCGACAGCATGAGCTTCAACAATGATGTAGGATTGCTGTCTGTCGTCTCAAGTTGATGCACATCCCTTAATGCCACTTTTCACATCTGCTCTTTCAGATAATCATCACCGCCATGGACCGATTTGTTTGGTTTGTCCTCCTGGTGGTCATGTCGCATCTGGTCACCGAATTCACCCGCGTCTCCGGATACGCAAGAGGCCAGCGTCACGAGATCGTGCTGCTGAACGATGTAAGTATCGAAACCTGCTTGGAGGTCTTTAAAAATATAAGCTGAGCGGTGGTGACTGGCACAAAAAAAAATATCAGAAAAGGCAGTTTTTTAGGGAAAAATAATTTTAGAAAGTGGACCTTTGATTAGCATCTAACACTTAAATATTTTAAACTTTTTCTAGTTTCTAAAAATAAATAATTCCAAGTATTTTATTAAAACAAATATTTTAAACGACACTTTTTCCAACCAGTGTTTTATTAATCAGTAATTATTTTTTAATAAATTTAATAAAAAATATTCCTCCATCTTTTTCATTATTATAACAAGTTCAAAACTGAAGGAAATATATATTTTTTTAATATTCTCGCAGTTGTTCATAATCTTATAAACGATAAATTTTTATGATACTATATTTATTCTTTGAGAATTTTTTTTGCACAGAGAGAACAAAAACATTCTAAAAAGCAAATATTTATTATTATAAAAAATTTACAAAAATATATTTGGTATTCAAATTGCTGTAATTTGAAAATACTTTAAAATATTTAAAGATAATTAAAAATCAGATATGATTCTTCGCGCTGTGCTAACATTTTGGTGACCTTTTACAGACGCTGCTGCAGCCGATGCCCGTCCAGAACATGGTCCTCTATCCCAGCCAGGACTACGGGCAGTATCAGCAACGACCCTCCTCCTCCGCGGGCTCCATGAGCAGCCTGCAGCAGAATGCAGCCATGCTGCTGAGCAGCTTGGCGGCCGGAATGAGCCCGGCAAATGGAGCAACTGCAGCGGGATCTGCTGTTCCCGGCAGCAACGCGGCCATTTTGGCCCTGGGCGATAGCCAACCGGCTCATACGGCCGAGAACACATACCCGGTGTTCAGTTTGCGACCCCTGATCGACAGCATTTTCGAGGTGAGCCCACGCCATTTGCCCCGCAGTATTTGCATTCACAAAAACCACTTTTCATCCGATTTTTTCCCCCAGATTCCGATTTCGACGTTGCGCGCTGTCAACAATCTGGTGGGTCGACTGACCGGAGGATATCGCCAGGCCCCGACGGAAATGTCGCAGAAATCCGTGGCAGCAGGAACGGCGCTGCCTTCCGGCAGACAAAGTCCCACTCTACATGCCCATCCCAATACCCATCATATGCGCGAGGAGATGGCGTAATTTAAGGCCCCATTTTAGTCAGTACTCTGCGTGAATGTTGTAATTCCTGTCAATGTATGTTTCGAGTGAGTTTTCGTGTGCATTTGTACCTTTGTGATATATGTGACCTTGTTGTAAGTCTAGACATAGGATATTTATGTCCACCCACAAAAAAATCCCAAAAAAATAAGATTAAAGAATACATGTATTTCCTACAGAAAAGAAAACGTACACAATTGTTTATATGAAAGGGGATAATTGAAAATTAATTTATACAAAAAGTAAGTAAGCTTTAGTGATTACTTTTTTATTATATAAATAACTAAAACCATTTGATTTAATATACTTCTTTTTTTTTTTTGCAGTCGAATGTTTTTTATGAAGGACAGTCGAATGTTTTTGCTTTCGCAGAAATACTGAAAATAGTTTACATACATTACAAAAAATAATCAACATTGTTTGGTTATCCTTTTCCTACAGAAAAAAGAAAAAATGTATGTACATGAACGAACATTTTAGTTGCACAGAAAATAATCAACATTTTTAAAATATATTTTTTGCAAATTTTTTATACACAGTAAATAAAATTATAAAATTGAAAAAAGAATATGCACCATTTAAGATACAATTTAAAATTTGTTCACCGTGTACATTTTACATATAGACAGCCCCAAAGTAGGCAACCCATTTTTTAATCATCAACATTTTGGTTTTGCTTGTTGCTCTGCATACTTTTATCGCTTACAGCAATATGTTTAATCTTTTGTTAATATGTCGGTAGAAATATAAGTTAATTCATTGATGGTGAAATGATGGCTGTGCAATGGAACTCAATTAAAAAAATACATTTTTTAATCTAGAGGATTTGTGCAAATATTATGTCGCATTGACGAGTCAATAAACGCATATCAGCAAGTCGACAAAAAGCGCTTCCCCATTCATTGACCAACATAAAGAGGTTTTCAATAGAGCCAATGGCACTTCCTAGGACTCGAATACTACAAACACTGCTCTCCTCAAATATGTACGTACTACTTGGCTAAAGTAAATTAATTAAATTAAGCTTAATGAGATTTCCATTTGGCAAAAAAAGGTTCTCGCGAAATTAACGTGGAAAAAACGTATGATGAAAAAGAACGTCAAGTGATTTGTTCAGCCAACTATCTGGTATTTCCTTAGGTAATCATGCGTGATGTAAGGATCAGAGCCAACCCAATTGGCATTGAATTCAATTTAATTATATTTTTCTTTTTGGACCCTTTTCGATGGCATTTGATTTCGGCCATCGCATTCTAAATTATCCAGCACGTGCGCTGCGAATTTTGGCCAGAAAGCGGAGCCAGAGGCAAAAGCACATTAGCACAGGCGGCTCTGTTTGTCATTTGAATATATAATGAACGAATCGCTGCGACAAAAGAAGAGAGTCCAATGGCGTTAAATTGGGAGTGGATAAGCTCTGGAGTTCAAAATCAGCCAGCCGAATTGGAGAAACCCCAAAGGAGGAATAAAATTATAATGGAAACTTTGGCACAAATAAAATCACTACCATTCAGTACCTATTAATTTGTCAGCCTGCAATTGGCAAACCCAATTTGCCTGCAGCTTCGTTGAAGCGTAAATGAAAACAAAACCAAAGCCGAATTTATGGCCAAATGCAGCCAATTGCGAACCATTTTAAAGCCAACAAAAAGTGAACGAGGAAGGGGCGGGGAAACACAAAAGCCGGTTGGCCAATACTCGCCAAATCGGATGCACTTTAATGGGGCCTATGTATGAGTAATATAGTTGTTTTTCAACAATTGTTTGATTCTGTTATTCTGAGTGAAGCATGGAAAATCAGAAATTAGTTTATATTATGTTATCTATGAAGGTTAATCGATTGCAAACGGCTTTGAACTGTATAGTACAAACATCAGTATTGATTTTAAATATTTTTCTAAATGTATGTAGTTTAACAGCAGTTCTGATTATTTTGTAATCTGCTGCAAAAATCAAAATTATTTTTGGAATTCCATTGAACTGTAAATTTCTGATTATCTAATTAAAAAACAAATCAAGCTAGTTCTTACAAGCTTTTCAAATTTTATGAATCTTTTAGGCTTTCTAATTTATGGATTTTTTAAAACCTTTGGGCTTTCTTATTACCGTTGTAAATAAATCTATTTTGGTTTAGCTTAAAGCACAAATACAATCCCTATATCAACTGAAAAATTATTCATTATTTAAAATAAACAACATAAAACTACAAATAACAAGAAATCAAAAAATATTGTTTTAAAATATAAGAAGTTGATTATGAATTTGCTTAATTTCCTTTTTTTTTAAGTGACAAGAATCGGTTAAACTTCATCTATTCGATGGGTTAAGTGAACAGACTACTGACCACAAAAAAGACCCATTCTGTCATGCCTGAGAAGTTACCAAATTCTCACCCAGTTGTTAGGACAGGTGCGGGCAAAGTGCTAATAGGTCGCCGAAAACACTGTATACATAGTACCCAAAAGTCTTGCATCATCGTTGCAGCGTCCAGAGTTCCCTGCACATCGAGCTCTAGAGATAAAAAGTTATAATAAGTAAAAGGAAAGAGAAAAGAGGAAGCTACCAGAACCCAGAGAGTCTCCTATATAAATAGACGCCTGCATACTTAATTGCGACACAATTCCAGTTTTGCGAAGCATTACAAGCACCAGACAGTAAGCGGCAGACAGTGGATTCCATTCCCCTCGGCAAAATTCAAGTTTAAGCCCGGCTCAGGCCACTCGACCACTCAGTTCAAAGCGAAATCGCGAAGCGACAACAACGAAAAGCCGGCAGCTCAGACTAAAGAAATAAAATAAAACTTAATAGGAACGCAAAGCGTCTAGGAAAGGTACAACAAAGAGCAAGAGAGCTTTGTTAATTAATCAGAAAAGTGCGATTCGCATGTGAAAGCCCGCAATTATGCTCGGCCGCTCCCCATAAAAGTGCGAGGAAGAATTCTTTGAGACGCGACTCGCATACAAAACGAACCTGGAATTGATTCGAATTTTGGATTTTGTTTTCTAGGTGCGCAGAATGTTCGTCTTGCTTGGAGTACTCTGTCTGCTGCAGGCGGTTAGCTTGGTGCCAGCCCAGGTGAGTCCTTCTCCGGATTCCGGTTTCCAAAAACTAATTAAGGCTCTCACTGACTGACACCTGCCAACAGGCCAGAAATTTGCCCATCGGCCAAGTGCGGTTCGAAATTATTTTAATTACTTTGCAGTCGCGCTGATTTATCTGTTTTAGCAGTATTACGTTTATTTGGTGACCAAACCCCTGCGTAAGCAAGTCAATACGCAGCTGACTCAAAAAATTCCATCAGCCGTATAAAATTCTCGGCTCTAATTGAATTATTCATCAACTTGATTAATAGATCACTCAATGAGTTGCATTTCCTATCGCTCAAGCAGGGGAAGAAATGTAATAATAATATACAATGATTTTTCATTTGAAAATATAAGGTTCTTAAATTGTTTATTTTGATTATTTAAAAAAATATTTAATAACCAAATATCCCAAGACAAATATGTATTGAAAGTCATAAATATTTATATAATATATGGGTTTTTTAACTGAGTTATAAGGTATAAACGAATGCGCTGTTCTAGATATAATTTTTGTTGGTTTTGAAAAAGCTTCAATTTCAAACGCAGACATTTAACTTAATTAAATTTGATAGAATTTCCATGTTGCACGACTTTTATTCCGTAAAGTGCTGGCCACCACAAAGTCAAATTTTGCATTTGAGCCTCTGACCATCAGGGCCGCAGCGCGGAAATCAATGCCATTGCCTAGCGATGATTTTATTTTGTGGTTCGTGGCCACAAATTAAGGGAAAAGGCGAAAGTGCAATATTCGATTTCGAGGGGAGAGCAGTGTGAACTTTGCTGCGGCTAAAAAACATTGCACAATGTCCGGTAATGAAGAATTTTTAGTGTGCGATTTCGCAACACGCCTAGCCTTTAATTGCAGGCCAAGGCAAATGCTCGTTGGGTTTTTCTTACCTGCCTGGATGGCAATTACATGGCACACTCAACACCACTTGCTTATCATTAATCTTGGCTTCACGAGCCGCGACCAACTATTATGCATCATTTTAATAACTGCTGCTGGTTTAGTGGCTACCGTTTTAGTGGCTGCCTTGAACTTTGGCGACCTAGGCTAACTAATATCAATTTAATTGCATTTTTCACCACCGATTACTCATACGCAGTGTTGCACACAAGTTGCAGGAGCGCTAAAGCTAACTATCGTTACTTTATGGTAATTAATAGTTTAAGACGGAAGTGCCATATATATATATTATGTTTCATGGCTTTAACTCTAGGCTTTAAATTAGGCAGAAAATAACAGTTTATTAACTCTTTAATTTGAACAAACTAAATTACATTGTTATTTAGTTTAAAAGCTCTTGCATTTATAGCTTAAATCTTAAAAAACAATTTACAAAATCTGTTTAAATATTAATCCAAAAATCTTTTCCGTATATTAATTTAATAAATACTCTTTTATTTAAGTTGGCTATTTTGAGTAATTTTGGGCTTCAGCTAAGCATTTAAACACTTTCAGGTGAACATGACTGACCAAAAGAATTTTTACACATCTTGCCTTGCACATTGTTTTCGCTAGAAGAGTTTTGCACCCTTCATCCCTGTATTCTTTTGTTTTCATTCATTGAGATTTTGTAATGGACAGAAAAGTTTATTCCTGTTTGCCGCTTGGGGGCTGCAAGAAATTAGATTTTAATCAACGCATGCATGAAATTTGCGTTTGCCAGCTAAATGGAAAAACCCCAAATAATTTTTTGTTGATTTTCTGTGTGGGTCGTGGAAATTGAAATTAAAAGCGCACGTAAAAAGTCCTGAGAAGGGTTTGCCGCCAGCCAACTTACAATTTGAGGCAGCCATTTCTAGGAATTCATGCAAATTACTAGCCTTTCCATTTCGCAGGTCTAACCAAGAAATCCTTTCAGTTCTTTCTCTATCTTTGTGGGTCATGACCCAAGCTTTTGAATTTAGGGAACTCCTAGCGGCAATATTTAATCTCCCTTTGGTATATTAAATTAACTGAACACAATTGTGGCATTTTACTGCCACCTTAAATTAGCAGAACACAATTGTGGCATTTTACTGTCAACTCAGAATAGTCATATCGCGATGTTTATCAGTGGGATGGAAGTTCTGCAAATATGGCAAATGTATTTATTTACATCTTTCAGATTGCGGACATGTGAAAGCAATTAAATTACTCCCTGAAAATATATTTGTCAATTACTCCATCGAAATATTAAACAAGTTCCGCTTGTTGTTTGAGTAAATAATTTAATCAATTATTAGTTTGCATTAGTTATACATGTTGTTGATTGCAGAGAGGTAAAACAGTTAAATTATTTAGTTTATTTACACACCTAGTATGCCATTGAAATTAGTTTAAAAACTTTCTGTCTGGGGACAGCAGAATGAGAGGAATGGTTTGATTAATCCGGGTTTTGTTTAAAAAGAAAACTTTATAGAAACTAACATGACACGATGTTTTTGCTGTTTAAAGTGTTTTTTATTATTTAAAATAGCCATAAATAAGTTGATTGGAATTCTGCTTAAAACGGAACTTATTAAGGATAAACTGACAGCAGCTTTCTGGTTTTATATAGTTATTATCTACTGTCAACAACTTACAAAGTTGTGTGCCTTATTTAAATAAATTATAAAACCCGACAGCCTTAAAACGTAGTTCAAACTTCGCAGCCACTGGCAAGTTTTCAGTTTTAATACTATTGTGGTCCCAACTTTTCACAGTCAGTAACAAAGTTCACTGTCGAAAACGCAGCACATGTTGTTTGTAAGAAAGAACATCAACATATTTCTCGATGATTAAAAACATATCGTTACAATTACGACTTCATTTTATCTCAATGAGAAATGTTTTCGACTTCAGTTAAGATAATAATAGCTCGTTGCGGGAGTTTCAGTGTCACCAATGTTTACAAGTGCATGTAACAAACAACGTAGCTCTTAAACATTTATTACTTCTCGTACATAGAAAAAATTAAATACGCTTAAAAAGAACAAAGAAAATTACTTGTTGCTTGTTTAAAACAAAACAAAAATAAAACTAACTTTGTATGCGGCAGCTTTTACAAAGTCCAAACGAAATAATAAATGACAATAACAATAGTAATAATTAATAATAATTAAATATTTAAAATCTTGACGTTGATAAAAACCATGAATGAATTTATAAAATCAGAAAGGCGATGAATTCGAGATTATTTTAGTTCACTCTAAAAATAGATAAGTAATCAAAACGAAAACTTCAGTAAATCAGACAAAATATTTAGAGACTTGTTATACACTCATAAATATACAAATGTTCTGTGAATATTATAAGAAGATTTGCTTGAGTTTATTGAATTAAAATTTTTTTTTTAAACTATATAGCTCTATTAAAAATAAATCTCAATAAAAATCTATTAAACAAATTTTTCTTTGTTAAAATGGCTTGCACAGCTGAAGTTCTTAAAACTTTTTACACTAATTATTATTTACAATGGCGAGTGTGGAGTGCTCCCTCTGTAGAAAATGGTGACTCGTCATATGTCCACTCCATAGATGGACACCTCGAGATGAGCTGGTTGTGGTTTTTCAACCTCCTCGATTCTCTGGCAACGCAGGACCACAAACTGATGGCCAATGCCGCCGGCCGTGACAACAGCCTCCGCTCCACCATTTAGATCCTCGACATGTATACCCGTAATCCGGTAGTTATCGCTGGCATTCTGCCGGAGATTTCCAGGGAGATTAAGCAATTTGCACGGCAACAGCTTGATATAAATCTCACCTGCGAGCCGTAGACGAGGTTATGGGGGGTTCCAGGGATGCCCTGCCTTAGATAGACATCTTCGGTGTGCAGCAGACTGGCGTATTTGTTGACATGTCCCCAGGTGACCGAGGCGGCATCGCCGAGCATTATTTGCCCAGGCACGAAAAGCAGCAGCAACCCCGGCAGCCACATCCAAAACATCCAAAACACCGCAGACAACCGCTGACGGCCCTTCAATTTCCACTCCCTCGCACTTGTCAACATGACAACATGTGTTCGCCTCTCGATTTTCCCCACCTTTCACTTTGGACTGGGGCTGGGGTGGTGATTGTGATTCTTATTCCGATTCTGGTTCTGACTGGGGTGTTGCAGCCTTTCCACCTAGTAAAGTAACCACCTCCTCCTCCTCTAGTCGGCGTGTGAAACTCAAATGAGCTGCCGTCAGGAGGCCAAGTTAAATATTGTCGTTTTGTCTGCCTGGAAAAAGTCTTATCAACGACAGGTGTGGTATGCTCTCTCGTTCGCTCTCTTTGGGCCAGGGCCATTAGTTTATTGTCACACTTTTGGTACCCTAACATTTAAGAAGTATGCTTACTATAATAGAAGGAAAGCAATTGTTCAACAACTAAATAAGAAGTCACTCATTGTTTCAATTTCTGCGAAACACTTTCTTTTTCAATTTAATAACTCGAATATTTTTAAAAGTCCAACCAACTGATTTTCGGTTATAAAATTCCCTATAACTCAAGATTGAGTGGTTACATCTATAAGTTGAAGAAATCATACTTACAAAGTATAAATCAATTGCCGTTTGTAAGCACAAGATAAGTTTTTTCTAATTTTTATTAGGTTTTACTTAATGTTACAATCTTGCCATCAACATTTGTCCCAAGTTTTTGATTTAATGTTTGCGGAAAGAACTAATTTTCTCTCCTAAAAATAAAAACTAGAGAATTTATAGGTCACCAAAGCACTGAGGAAACAACAACTCATGTGTTTGTTTGGGTTTGTTGTGCTAGCTGTGTCTAAATGTCACAATTATTGATAACTTTTTTTTAGAACTCACTTAGTGCTCTCATTACCGGAGTTTTACTATTCACTATCTAGCTCAACTGAACTCTCCCAATAACATTCGTTATCATTGAATCGCTTTTTTGTAGTTTGGTTTTGTGCCAGCTTATCTTTGTTCTTAACATTTCATTTTTTTATTTCTTGAATGACGGCTAAACGAACTGTGCAAATATTTGTCAACATTTCCGAACTGACTTAATATCTGCGTAACAAAACTTTCGACCTTCACCGATTTGAGCTGTTGAGAAATTTTGCTTAAATTGATTAAAACTCACACCAACTTACAAAATGTTTACAAACTTAGTTAAGCGGGCACAAAAGGGTGTTTGCCTGTTTTTTCCTGGTCAGGCCAAAGTTCAGGCACAACTTTACAACTATTGGTGAATGGAAAAGGGAGGACCAAACATCTTGAGCCGAAAAGTTTGTGTACGCGAAATTCGAAGGTCGTGGCTAACTTTGAATAGTATTAAGTATACGCAACGTGCCCAGAACTTTGTGCTAATGCTCTCACATTTTCGCCATCCCAACTCTTTACCCGCAGCTGATTACACTGCACGACGGCAAGGTTGGCGTGAATTTCGCAGGATATCACGCGGATGCGGGACTCGGAGGACTCCTCACGGGCAACTCCGCCCACGGCGGACTCAGCGCCTCAGCCGGAACTCCTTGGGGTTCCCGGGCAGCCGCCGGACTGGGTGGCACTCTGGACGGTAAGTGTCGTTGGCCCTGCGCCTAATTGATTCGATCTACACCCTGGGTATCCTAAACTGCGATTTTCCCTTAGGACGAGCCGCCGGCGTGGGCTATGCCGCCGCCCAGGCTAATCCTTCGGTGGGAGCGAGTGCCCTCCTGGGCGGCAGTGCCGGCGAAAACGGCTACATCGGAGCCGAGGCTCACAGTCCTGGTAGGAAGGTGATTTCCTCTTCCCACCATGCAGCTCAGCCGACATATGCCGACAGTCCTGTCCCCGACTCCGTCACTTCCGGTCCCGACTCTGCGGTGCCAACTACAAGCAGCCACATTCAGAAGGTCAAGCCTCCCAAGAAGTACTCGCTGATCAGACCAGACCATGTAAGTAATAATACATTGTCACTCAGTTTTGTCATAAATATAAGAAAAGTTGACAGCAAATTTTTATTATTAACTTGCATCAAACCTCCTTTGAAAAACAAATTTTTATAAATCAAACTTTTATTAAAATTATTCAGAATAAATGATTGATGAAATATTGGTATACAAAAGTTTTTTATCGAATGAAATCTTTACTAAAGATTTCAAGAAAATCTTAACAACCAATATCCAATTATTTGAAAGAGTTAAAGTTGAAAGAAATTGTATTATATGTAAAATTTGATTTGCTAATAAGAGAACACACAAAGGATTCATAGTGTTTTTTAGAGCTTTTCAAACAGTCGTTATAAAAATGTATGTTCTCTAAAAAGTAATTAACTGTTTGCGTTTAATTTACGAGACCATCGGACCTGTCAGAAATGGAAAACAACTCCGAGAGTCAGGCAATTAAAAATTTGACAGGATATTTAAGATCTGTTTTTTTTTCAAAAGTTTCTCATATTGGGTTGAACTTTTGTGGTGAAATTAAAGGGAATTGAAGGCTGAAATGCCTTTTCAATTGCGCAATTGCTGGCAATAAATCCTCGAGTAGTATTTAACTGGGACATGCGGTTAAATATTGATCAATGCTCTCGTGTCGGTGAGCCAACAACAAGCTATCAATCCACTTGCCATTGATGTTTTAGCCGGACCACAGCGAAATCATTGCAAATCATGTTAAAGTGGCCGCAGATGTCGATGCGGTGGATAAACACCCGCCCCCGACTGCTCCGCCCACTTCGTTGATAATTGTCAAGCGGCCACGCCCACACGCAAAGCGTCATCGTCAGCGGCAACGCGTCGTATACGTGATGCAGCAGCAGCAGCCGCAGCAGCAACAAATTCCGGACGAGGAAGCACAAAAGGACGAGAATCAGTCGCCCATTGAGGTAACACCAACTGCGTTGCGGATACAGATACAAATTCACTACAGATACAAAAGCCCCCAAACAGATACTTTTCAGCACACAGATACACGCACACACACACGCTGGCACACTTAAACGTAAACAAATTGTTGGCTTTTTGGTGAGGCTGGGCTGAATTTCAAACTTTTGCTTTGAGCCTGTAATTTTATTTGAAAACATTTGCGGACAATGTGGGCGAAGGAGGAGGAGGAGGAGGAGGAGGGGTGTGGGTCAGCTGGCGCTACATTTCCGTGAAATATATTTTAATATAATTTTAATTTATCCCCCCAGTACTGCTTGCATGTGATGCTCTGGTTCTTTACAAATAGTTTTCGTAACTTATGAATATCCCACCATCCCCACAGGTGCCGGAGAAGAGCGAGGCCAAGGTCGTCCAGGCCCACAAGTACAAGTCTGTCCAGCGAACTCAGCCCGTGGTGAACAAACGCTTTTCGGCTCCTCAGGCCCAAGGACCAGTGGGCCTGGCCCTCGATGTGAGTTTGAACCCCTCTAGAAAATAATACAATTATTTAATCATCAGTAAAATATATTTAAAGTTAGCTCACAAAACTTTTGAATAAAAGCACCTATAAATTAAATGTAAATGTATTAACATTATTCCTGATTAAATCTAAAGCTTGTTCCACAACATATATTAATTTTCCCAATGTCAAAGAAAATTAAGTTTCTGTAAAATTTACAGTTCTTAATTTGAAAGTACTTTTTTAAAACATTTTTTTTCTTATTTTGGTGCACATACAATTAAAAAGGAAATTACTCACAAATTCAAAGACCTAAATTCATTGCCTGGAATCTTTATTATTATTTAATATTTCTCTATTACAATTGAAAATATTTTAAAGGTTTTTATATTCTTATTCTGCATTTCTTTCATTGTTTTTTAAACTTTCATATTTATTTTGTTATTTAAAATTTAATTTCTTGATTTTTAAATTTTGTTTTTTAATAAATGTTTTAATGATGTCAGAGCTATTAACTTATATAATATGTATACTTCCCCCTTTTCTTACAGATTCCAATCGGCATTCTGCGATCGCTGCAGCAATCTCTAGGCGCTTTGACCGGCGGAGCACCTCAGCAACAACAGCCAGCAGCTGCTCAAGTCCACATTCACTAAGCTAGAAAAATAATTGCACAATATAGTTTCGGTATTTTTAAGATCCCCTTGATGCATATATCTCCCAATAATAATAAATAAAGCGATTACGCAAAAATGCTATCCAATTTCATTGAGTATGATGGGTAAAATAAACATTTTTATATTGTCAACATCACGCAGCAAGATGTATAAGGAAATAATTTTTCCACAGTAAATTCTCAACATATCATGACCTTTAGCTACACTTATAACTAAATAAAACACTAGAGTAAAATTAAAAACAAAATAAAAAAGTCAATTTGAAGTTTCTTACTTGAACTTACAACCTATTTAATGTGTACTGAAATACTTTGATAATTTAGTCAAGTAATTGGAAGTGCTAAGCTGACACGTGTTGACCTATTTTTCTTTTTCAAAATCAAACAGAAAGCCAGAGTGAGATAAATTAAGCCTTATCTTTTATGTTTCTTTAACTCTTGGTAAATGCTTGGAAATAATTAAAAGTGCTGTGCCCTTAACGATTTATCTGCCTGAAATGCAAACAGAAAATCAGGCTTTTACGTGGCTCGGCTTATCCGTCAATTATTGAGTTGGTCAGGGCACTCAGCTCCTGGGCTTTCTAGTGTTTACCTGGTAATTGCCTGCCAGTAAAACTCAACTATTTTACAGCCGACAAGCAGTCCGGATTGTTTGTTGTTGATTAAAAGGGTCTCTCGCCATTAAATCAAATGCCACAACACAATGCAGGGAAATGAATTGAAATGGCATCCGCATATGAGGACGAACCACATATTGCCGGCATGAACTGTGAAAATTCGCTGGAAATTCGGGTTGGATGCTCCGGAAAATACCAAGGCATGGGGGTCTGTTTATTTAGGCTATGTGTGTGTGTGCGAGTGTGCTGGAGATCCAGACCTCAGACAAGATATGGCACACACACACACACACGCCACACACCACCAAGCATTAGGTGTGAGAGAGCA